CACGCACCCTGGTGAGGGTGCTCCGGCCGGAGGCAGGCAGTGAGGAGCTCTTGTAGCTCCCAATGTGCAGGGCTGTAAGAGAGCAAGAGATGGGGCTGGGGGTGCGGGCAGGGGTGCAGGCAGGGGTGCAGGCAGGGGTACAGGCAGGGGTACAGGCAGCTGGGGAAGAGAAGGGATGGGATACAGGACAAGCATCCCACATACATGTGTGGAAGGGCGTCCGGTCCGGCAGCGAGCGGGTTTTCCTCCGAATGGGGAGCGATTTCTCCATCTCCTCCTTCAGGATCAACTTCCCCAGATTGGAGGTGATCTGGGGGCAAAGGGATGCGGGTGGGGGTCCACGTTATATTGCCCCCAGCCCCTCATGGGGTGCCTCCCTGCCTGCTCTGTTCCTCACCTTGCTCAGCTCCTGCCTCTGGAGCTCCCGCAGGTTCTTCATCTCCTCCGAAATGTCCTCCTCCTCCTCCTCACCTCTCTTGGACGCCATCCGCCTCCTCCACTCTGTCTCTGGTGGGAAAACCAGGAATTTCTATCCATCCCCAGCACCCGGCAGAGAGATAAAGCCCCCTCATCTGTCCCTGACCCCCACCTACCCACGACAGCCAGGGATGGGGGGCATGGCCAGTAGTCAGTCTCGATCTTGGCCGGTTGGTTGGGGTCTGGGGGCTGTGCCGCCGGGAATTTGGAGGATTCGATGATCAAGTCCTCTATGAGATGCTTCCCATGGTGGGCCCCGGGATGGTGGACTGTGGGGCATGGTGGGGGGGTGTTAGGCATCGCCCTGGGGTGCCCCATCCCATGGGACAGACACCCACCCCCTCACCTTTCTGCCTGTAGATCGGGGGCTTTTTGTATATGTTGAGCTCCGTCGTGTCGGTCTCTGCAAGGAAAAAAGGGGGTTGGGGGCTGGGAATGGGTACCTCATGGGAAGGGGCTCACCCAGACTCCCATGGTTGGGGGTTTGGGGTGATGCAGTGTCTGGGGGGGTCACGGTACCAGGTCGGTGGAAGTGCTGCACGCTGCTGCGGGCAGAGCTGCTGCCTTGGCGAGAGGGGGGCTGTGGGGCACTGCTGGGGGTCCGGTTCTCCATCCACTCCCGAATCACCTGCAGGGGTGAGCAGCGAGACCCCGGCAATTCGGTGTCGCCCCCTCCTCCTCCTCAGAGCCCCCCACTTCCCATCCCAATGCCGGTACTCACCTCTGGAGATGGAGGAGGAGAGATGGATTTGGGAGACAGGGACCGCTGCAGGAGGCAAAAAGTGATTTATGCCACATCTGCCTTATGGGACTTCTCTGTCTGGGGGGGCTTCCCACCATGGCCCCCCCCAAAACAACCAGGGGACACCCTCACCTCTCGGCTGCGGGGCAGCTCCACGTGCTCCATGAGCGAGTAGGTGAAATGGGGTTCGTAGATCATCAAATCGGGGCGCTCGATGTCCAGGATCGCTTTGTCCTTGGGGATGGCCGCCAAGTCCTTGTACCCCAGGACCTCGTTGTCCATTTTGGCCTGGAAGGAAGGAAAAGCACCTTCGTTTTTGGGTGCAAAAAGGGAACATTAGGGAACAGGGAGGGCTGGCATCCTCCGTGGTCCTGCTGGGGTGATGGAGGGGGTTTGGGGAGGCACATCCAGACCCCGCGGGTGGAGGGATGCAATGGGGAGATGGGAGCGGGCTCTTACCACGATGCTGGAGGGCGACCCGGGGACACTGGACCCGCGGGAAGAGCAGACGCTCCCTGGGGAGGTCAGTGGTTGCTGGAAGGAAAATGGGGAGATTTTAGCAAACCTTGGCACCTCCAGCGCGGGAAGGGGCTTAGGGTCACAGTCAGGACTCTGAGCATGGCAGGGCGGGCTGGGGATCCCCAAGGACCTGAGTGCACAAGGGAGAAACACCCGTGGGGATGGGGCATTTCTGGGTGGGCTCTGGGGTCTCCTTTGCTCCAGCCTTGCGGGTCAGGGCAGGGGACAGCGGGGAGGTGACAGTGGCTTGGCCAGGACGCGTTGCCACTAGATGGTGCTGCCAGGCTGGGCTGGGGGGAGGAGGAGGAAGCCAGAGCCCTGCTCGCAGCATCCCAGGGTGACTCTGACGATGTCCTTGGCCACCAGCCCCTGCCCTTGACCACCAGCCCCTGCGTGCCTTCCCGAGGTGCAGGGCTTCCTACTGCCTGCATGTCCCCAGCACTCTATCCTATACCCCCAGCACCCTTCCCTGTACCCCCAGCATCCTATCCCATACACCCAGCACACTGCCCATGACCCCCATACCTTCTGCAGTCTTTCCATTCAGCTGCGGGCCGGAAGGGCTGTGTCAGTCACAGGGTCCTGCATGGGAAAAGCAGGGGTT